AAAGTTATTGCTGAAATAAATTCCGCTCTCAACCAAGAACCTCAACTTACTAATAACGAATTAAGTCCGGAATATCAGAACTGGGAAAGTCAAATCAACCAAATAACCGATATTCAGCAAATTACTAACTTTCAAGCTAGAATTTTAGCCGATATTCAAGCCCGCCGACACGACAAAAAAACCGCTCAAAAAGTTAAAGAAAACCTAAATAAAGCCCGCACCGGAACTAAGCAAGAAAAAGAACAAGCCTGAAAAGACTTAGAAGAACAAGAAACTGAAAAGAGTTATCAAGAGAATCAAGCCGAAGCAGAAAATTTGAAAAAAGAAAAAGCGGCTGAAAACCCCTCAGAATATAGCGAAGAGGCCAAGCAAAAAATTGAAAAGAAACTAAAAAATAATGGAGTTAAAGAGGATGAATTAAACAACCAAAACCAAGCCGAATGACAAAAACTAAGAAATGGAGAAATCAAAGACCCCGCCAAGTTAGTGGAAATTGAAACTAAACTCACCCAAACTATTTATCAAAAAGGAGTAAAAAGAAAAGTAGCGGACTTAACTTCCCGGGTCAATCAAGTTCTAAACTCAAAATCGGATAAAAACCAAATAGCAACTCTCAAAAAAGAATTATTGCAATTTATCAGTAGCAGTAATATTTACTACACTTCCCACAAAAAGGAAGTTAAAAGTTTATTAACTAAATTAGAAAATTACTCGACTAATAACCAACAGAGTAATCGTAATTCAACAACCAAATCCGATAACTTTCCTTGAAAAGTAGTTGTTCCTCTCTTGCTAATTGGGATATTATTGCTAATAGCATTGACAATCTGAACTAAAAAAATTGTTCGAAGAAGAAAAAGAAAAAAATAAGTTTATAGAATACTTGGTGTGAATAAGGAATTAGAAATTAAAATTATTGATTATTTAAAAAGGCTAGAAAAGAATGAAATTTCTCCTCCGATAAATAGTAAAAAAAAAGGTCTTTTACTAATTAGCAAAAGTGAATACGAAAAACTAGATCAAGAACAAAAAGAATATCAAGAATTAAGCCAAGAACTAAGCAAAGAAGAACAAAATCTTATCCTTGCGGAAGTTGAAGGCCTCAAAGAAAAAAAAGCCAAATTAATTAATAAAATTAAAGAACAAATAATTGAAGAAGAGGGTATCAGTCAAAGTGTCATTATGGAAATTCGTCCGGGACCAGGAGGAAATGAGGCTGGGTTATTTGTCCGTGATTTATATCGTATGTATGAAAAATTTGCGGGAAAAAAGAACTGAAAAATAGAGATGATTGAATCAAAAACAGGCTCAATAGGTAATTTCGATTTCGTTTCCTTTTTTATAAGGGGGAAAGGAGTTTTCAACTATCTAAAAAACGAATCTGGGGTGCATCGTGTTCAAAGAATTCCTAAAACTGCAAAAGGGGGAGAAATACATACCTCTACTGCTACAGTTGTTATCTTGCCAGAATTCCAGGATATAAAATTAGATATTTCCAAAAAGAACTTGAAAATAGAAACTTGCCGAGCCAGTGGAGCAGGTGGTCAACATGTCAATACTACTGATTCAGCCGTAAAGGTAACTTATACTTATTTTGTTAATGGCAAGACTGAAACCATTACAGCTACTTCCCAAGATGGACGAAGTCAGCACGATAACCGCGAAAGAGCCTTAACTGTTCTAAAAGACCGTTTGTTAGAAAAACTACAAACCGATCAAGCAAAAGAAGTTGGAAATTTGCGTTCCTCTATGATTGGCAGTTCTGAGCGTTCAGAAAACTTCCGCAC